GCAGGAAGTTAAGAGTGCTGTCTTGCACTCAGACAGCAAAGTCCTTGCCTGTCTTCACTTAGAAAAAGCAGACAAAATTATGTCAGTGTCATGGTCTAATGCCTCCTGGAATTAACTGCAGGTTATAATAGTTTTTGCCCTTATGCCATTCATAATTGAGGACCACAGTCTATCTATCCCTAAGTATTCCCACAGCCTTCATCAGAATCAGTCAAAACTACACAAAGACAGCCTACACCTAAAAAAAAAAAAGGCAACAACAATTTTTACTAATGCTAAACTTATTGTGCATGAAGAACTGGCAAGACAGCCCATTTGAGTGAAAGCATTTAGGAAGTACTGTGAAATTGCAAATGCACAGATCTAATTTTTCAAATCACTTGGCTTGCTATGAAGCAAGGCAAGAAAGACAGAATTCAAGAGAGTGAGCACATGAAAAAAAGCTATAAAAATAAAAATTAGCTATGTGTAGGAGATTAACTTAAAAAAATTAACTAGGCCAGCAGGACAATTAATAGGTCCACTGGTCCATATAATATTTTTCATTTGTAGTTCATATCTTTCCTAGTCAGTGAAAACTTCAAACTGCAAATGAAGTGCCACAACTATTAAATCTTACAGATTTTAAAAAAAAAAAAAATAATTTTGCCAAGGACAACTGAAATCCCAGGATTGCTTTCTGGTAAAAGAGGTTGCTTGCATCTGTATTTGCTTAGTCCAGAAGACCTGTAGCTGTTTCATATTATGTACGGTTGCTTAATGCACTAGGTATTAACATGCAAGGAGAAAAAAATAGCCTGAGAGACATTTGGAATGCAATGTTCTCCATGGGTCTGTGAACCTGATGATCTAAATGTGAAATTGTGAAGTCTCAGCTCTGATGGCTAAGGTTATGCCAATACTTGTGTGCCTCATGAACTTGTCTCCCTTAGGAAGCAGCTGTATTTGCTCCCAGCTCTCTCTTACATCCCTCCACAGATCAGTGGATCTTACCTGCCTTTGGGCCTGCAGTCAGTAAATACTGCACATCTTTAAAAACATATTTCATCTTGCACAATTGAGTATCGTGCTAAACTTCAAAATATTGCTCTAAGCAAGCTATTGAACACAAGAGCTGTTTTTATTCCAGTAGATTAACTCTCCAGCACACAAGGGACATTAAGACACAAAACCGAGTTAATTCTACGGTCAGAACGGCAGCAAGACATCAGTCACTTTTGTGAGGTTCCAAGCTAAACACTTTGTGGTGTCCCAAGTAACACTGGAATACATTTATTGTGTTCACATTTTATTTAGCTTAGCTAGGGGAAAAGACTTTAAGTAATCACAGTGAACTAATCAAACTTCCCTTCCTGCCCCTGTGAGGCAATGAAGAATCACTTTAATAGGCTAGGATAAAGAAGACCCTCTCCTGGACTGGAAGTTAGTTCATTGAGAGCCCATGAAAGGACTAGAAGGAGTTTTGTACACCAAAAACCCAATGTAAACTAAAATTGGACAAATCTGTCAGTTGGACAAAATTGGCTTGATGTAGTCTTACTTCACACACTGCACACCTCTGAAGTTAAGGCATTCCTCAGGTATATTCATAAAGAAAGTAAGCCTTTGAGAAGGAATGCAAGTTCTATTCATCACAGCTCAATTTCGACTTTAAAGAGTAATAATGTGAAGGTGCTGATCCTGCATTAAGTACAAAGGGGCCAATTATAACTAGTCATACTGAAAAGAATTATAACTGCACCACCTTAAGTGACCACCTTCTTCTCACCTCCTGTTTTTAGAACTGTGGTCTGCAGGTCTCAGGGATCTAGGAAAAAATGTCACTGAAGAAAAGCAAGCTCTTTCTCAGATGCAATTTCATTACAAGGGTGCCTGCATCCACTAGGAAAAGAAAAAAATATTTAAACCTTCTACATTAAAGAAGGTTCAAATCCCCTTACCTAGACAAATCCAGCCACTGTTTAATTTGGACTACAACTTCCAGAGGCAGTGGCAGAAAAATAAACCAAACAAACAACCTGTAAGATTTGCAAAGTCATGATCCAGGGAAAGATCACAGAACAATTCCTCACTGGAAGCTAGCAGGGCACAGGAAGGAAGGGATGGAGAAACAAAGCAGATTCTCAGCAGTCTCAGATATACAGTTCTTGTTTCTGTTGTTTCTTGGTAGTGTTTGGGAGATGTCAGTTAAGTCTTACTGTGTGAGCCTGAACACTTTGCTTGTACATCCCTTTCTCTGTGCCTCTAATGCTCTCTGTAAAAATAGAGGGGGGAAAAAAAGAACCCAACCCCTTTTCTTCACCAATGTAGTAGCAACACACACAGTCGCATTCCAGCCAGAGCGCCCACAGAAGGTTTGGAAGCCTCAGTTTTTCCAGGGGGGGACAAACAAGACTGGATTGTTGCCAAAACACCTGTCGTTCCTTTTGCCAGCTGAAACAAAGATTAAAGGCTGCTAAATTTGTTCCCAAAAAGATTTTAAGTTAAAATAAAAAGTATATATATATAAACATACACACAAGATTCCAAACACACTGGGGACTGAGTCAAGACCAGTGCATAGTTACAAGCAGGTTAGAAGCCATTTTTGATACTAAGATGTACTACAAGAGGCAGTTAGTTGCAGGGTGATACATCCTCTGTCACGCTGTTTTAATATACAACTGAACATTACCTGCAACCAGGGAAAAGCTAATAGGGAGTTTAAGCTTTACCTAAATTTCTCCTTCCACGATTAAAAAGCTTCTGTTTCAATAGAAAGTCATGTTTGCTCAGGTAGAATGAGCTGAAAGAAGTTCAGCTTCATCCCAGGTTGCGTGAACACATGTGACAGTGACTAAGGCTAATGAGAGACCTGCAGAGTCCACTGCTGGCATTTTGAGTCTGTGCTGTGCAAATCTACTGGTGCTTAAGTCCTGTCAACATCTTGCATCAAAGCTGCTGGCTGTGCTACGCTTTCAAATACCAGACAGACAAGTGATAAGTGTCATACAACCAGTTCCCAATACTCAAGAGGCTTGAAAATTAGTTTCTGGAGCTGTGGCTTTTCAAGATGTAATGTACTAGTCTTTGTTGTTCAAGAACAAAGGGAGATCAACAATTGATCCTTGTTTACTTTTTCATGCTAAAGTTCTGTGGCTTTGTTTTGTTGTTTTTAAACTCCAGTATATTCAAGATTAGGACTGTTTTCAAAGACCCTACGCTTTTCCACAGAGTATCTTAATTCTGTAAGCTTCAAGAGCTAATATGGAGAACTGAAGAGATTAAGCTGAACTTGTTAATACTTCTTTATGCAGCTGGCAAGGAAATTCATGTCATGCAAGACTTCATCCTATCGTGTTACTATATACACACAGCTGTTGACAACATGCATTGGACTCAAATTTTATACACGGGTTCTGGCAAAACCACAATACTACAACACCCGAAACCACATTTGGTGTCTGAAATACTAATAGCTTGCAGAGTTATTCACAGACTAACAGATTCTTTAGTACCTTGAATACACAAATGCCAAAACCTTCAGGAGGTATAACTGCACAGATGATTCAAGTGAAAATATTTCCAAGCTTCTTTTTTTTTTTTTTTTAATTAAAAAGTGTACCAAGGATTAGTGCTTTAATCCTGAATAGAAACAAACAAACAAAAAAAAAAACAAAAACCAACAACAACAACACACGAAACAAAAAAAAACACCTGCCCCAAATCTCAGCATGTGCCTACATAATTTGTGAAGGTAGAAGGGACCAGACCAAAGTGCCTTCTGCTAGTAAGTAGTGTAGTAAAAGCAGAAAGAAAAAAACAACTGCAGCAGTTCAAAACTCATCTAGCTCTGCATCTACGGATCTGACTGTAGCTATAACAAGATGCCAACAGAAAAGTATAAAATAAGGTAAGCAGATTTTGTCACTATCCAACACTCCAGCTATCTATGACTCATATATCCTCAAAAAAAAGCAAACCAGAAAGGAAACACCTACCTGGAAAAGGGGGATCTAAGTATAACAGAGTCTATGTTCAACACCCACCCCCTCACTTGAAATAAATCACATTTATTACTAGCTTTGCATCATAGGTACTTAACAGACACCCGGAAACAGCAGCTGTAGCCAGTCCACAGCTGAAGTAAGATCCCACATGTACTTACACTGCCTCACGGGAGGCGCCGTGCAAAAGCAGCAGCTGGACCACGCCGAGGTGCCCGTTCCTGGCCGCGTCGTGCAGCGGGGAGTCGTTCTGGTAGCCCGTCGTGTTCACCAGCGCCTTGTGCCGCAGCAGCAGCTCCACCACGTCTCTGTGCCCGTGGTTACAGGCCTCGTGCTGGTCCCGTGAACCCACAAGGAAGGAAACTCAAGTGAAATGGAATTCAGAGGAAGGACTTCTGTCACACCAGTTAACACGTGCCTTTTCATGCCTCTGGGTAGATGGTGGGGGAAGACGACACAAGGATGCCACATTATATTCCTGACGTGAATTAACCTCGGAACCCAGCGCTAATAAAGCGCACGGAGAAGAACTGAACCAAGGCCAATTGTCTGCAAATCAGACTACAGGGAACAAAGCTTTCCAGATTACAGACTCTGTCAAGCGTATTCTTCAGGAGAAGAAGAAAAGTCATGGTTGATAATAACCTTTTGTTTGTTTTCTGTAATTCAACTGAACAATTTTTTTCATTCAGCTGCTTGATATCTATTTCCTAAATGGTAAAGAACACTGAGGACATTAAGAACCAATAAAATATACACATTGCCTGCAATTGATTGTTTTCTAGTTATCATAGTTATATTTCCTGCATTTGCAGAATGGCAGGCTGGTAGAGCTCTTGCCATGCCCTATCCCAGGAAAGCAGAGCTGGATTTGGGCAGGTCTGTAGTTACTAAAATTTTTTAAGCTTCCTTACTGTCACTTCTTCACATTGCATAACTCTGTCACCTAAATATGTGTAAAGGGAACTAAAATGTGGGAGAGGAAAGGATAGATGAAATGAAATCTCATGAAAAGACAGCTGACAGAAGAAAACTCTTCAGCACTCACCAGTGGTGTCCAGCCAGCATTATCTTTGACATTGGGATCTGCACCATTTTTCAGCAGCTGTTCAACAGCTGCTAAGTCACCCTACATAGGAAAAAAAAACAGTTATTAAAAAGCAATGAAGAAGAAACACAAAGACAACAAAAATTTTAAAGATGCATAATTATAAATTTAGCTGCAATAAAAATGTAGTAATACAAGTCTTCCATTTAGATATTGTCAGCATAACAAAACCCCAACTGCTTTGGAGACCACAGTTCATCATTACTGTTTGTTTAGAAGCACTTAGATGTTTCACACAAATATATATATTTTAGATTAAAATGATGCACATAACAGACTTAACTCTGAATAAAAGGACAAGTTTGTGCTCATTGCAATCTATCCACTAGAGTCAACTGCAAGGATTAAAATCAGGAATACTTATTCAGAATTTCCTTGTCCTTCAGACTGGATTTTTTTCAAACTAATCTGCATAACTGGCTAGAAGCATGCATAGGTGAAATAGATTAATATGCCTGACAAGCTTCTATAAATTGTTTTCCACAAGTGAGAAGGGAGAGTTTTATTTAACTCTGCAATTACTACTTATTTTGAAACTGACTGACACTTTCCCTGGCAGTTACTCTTCACCAAATGGTTCTCATTTGCTTTCTGCAATAAAACTATATTCATTTTTTACTGTAAGCAAGGAAACTTATGAGGAATAGGGATTAAGGGGAGATGAAGCAGGCTGAGCAGGCAAAGGAAGCAACTCAACAGAATTTGGAAATCATAGAATTGTTCTGGTTGGAAGAGACCTTCAAGATGACAATGAAGGCAAATCATTAACACAGCACTGCCAGGGCACCGTTAAACCATGTCCCTCAGCATCACATCTACAATTAGCCTTTCAGTCCCTCCAGGGATGGGGACTCCACCTCTGCCTGGGCAGTCTGGGCCAGGCTTAAACACAACCCTTTCCGTGAAGAAATTTTTCCTAATATCCAGCCTAAACTTCCCCTGGAGCAACTTGAGGCTGTTTCCTCTTGTCATATTGCTTCTTCCTTAGGAGAAGAGACCAACCCTCACCTCACTACAATCTTTTTCTAGGTAGTTGTAGAGAATGATAAAGTCTCTCCTAAGCCTCCTTTTCTCCAGGCAAAAATCACAGGTTTTGACAATTTCAAAAGGCAAGTATAGAGCAGGTTGTTAATAAGATTGGAAAATATACAGATGAAGCTACAAATGGGCAAGGAGAAGCCTCCTGCAGAAACTAAGGCAAGAAAATCCCTGCAGTGGAGGTCTTCTTAAAAGCAGGTGGGAAAAGTAATCCAGAGAGACTGAAAACAGACTCTGATCCCCTTCTCCTTGCCCAGCACTGTCCACACCCGGTTTGGGGTAGAACAGAGCTGATTCTGTTCAATGATTTTACTTTTCAGCAAAAGCTCTTCTAATTAACTGCACTGCCTGAAGTTAGCAGCATATTTTCACATGTCTGCATTTAGCAGTGGTAACACTCCACGTTTAGAGTTACTACCAAGGATTGGTGTGCACACCAAGGTCACTGCTAAGCTTGTGTACCACACAGAGTGGAGCAGAAAGTAAAGCGACACCTGCAGGGAGAAGCAGACAAGACAAGTGACCCTAAGATTCACCAAAGGGGTATTCCATCCCATATCTGTCATATTCAGTATAAAAGCTGAAGGATCAGGAGGGGAACCCCTTGTGTCACCTCTTCCGTCTCCCTTCCGCCTTCTGGCTCGCTCTGGCTGCTCCTGCAGTGGCTGCATTGGAGGAGGACTTCATCCATCCTGCCTTTGATCCTGAGCTGTGTGTTCCTGAACTGAGCTCCAGAATCCAGCTCCTGTGCCCAGCTGCTGTCTGTGGCTGAGTCCCGCCTGGGACCTGTCCCCATGTGCTGCTCCCAGCATTGGGGGTAACAGTGACACATTGCCATTGGGGGGTGGAGCTGGGTTTGATACTGGTTTTGTATTTATTTGTATATATTCCATTTTATTTTTATTTTTACTCTTATCAGTAGCATTATTAAAGCTGTTTTCTTTTCCAATTGGTAAGTCTCTCTCTCTTACCCTTTGGGGGAGAGGGGCGGAACAGGGGGCTAACAGAGAGTCTGTTACCGGTCTGGGGGCAGCCCTGTCCCTACACCATGACACACCTGAAACTCACATTGTGCCACGTCAGCCAGTTCCTGCCAATGGCATTTGTCAGCACAGAGCAGCGATGGCAAAGGTCAGCCTCTCTGCCCTGTGGGACGTTTTCAGGACCTGCTCCAACCAAGCATTTCAAGATGACCACTAACACTTTCCCTAGACAAGGCTATTGTGATCCCCAGTGAAGAGACTGATATCTAGCGCCTGTCCCTGGCCAAATCTGAAATATCTCAATATTAGGACCTGGAGGGAGGGAGGGAAGAGAAGTTTAATCCATTATATATAAAAAGTTCTGTGCCCCTAGGTGGTGGCAAGGAATTCCTAACTATTACTCCATGGCATACTTTAGGAAAGGTGTAAGAATATTAAACTAAGCTTAAAAAAAAAAAAATTAATCCCATTTATTTTTTTGTTATCAAGGAACACTTTGGACAAACAAAATAGCTTTAATCTTTACTCTTTTGAGAGAATACTAAGACTCTGCTCAGCAGAAATAAATCCAGCAAGCGACAATTCAAAACTCAAAATTCACCAAAAAAATGCTGAGAATCACTGTCTTTACAACAGACAAGCAAATTAACACATCAGAGATAAATCTCATGCATTATATTCACAAGCTAGCTGTCCCAGCAAAATGTTACCTTCCAAAGCAATTAAAGAATACGCTGCTGTTTGAATACTTTAGAGTTGCAAGGTAATAGACAGGGCTCAGCATTAGATCTTGTTCTACAGAGAGAAGATACAATTATCTATAATGAGTGAGATTTGAGCTTATCATTTAACGTTAAGTTTGCAAATGTGTACAGCAAGGGTTGACATTTCAAGAGTACTCCTTCAGAGCAGTAAGCATAGCTAATAATTTGTGTGGGCATTAGGCAGTATCACAGATCTTCAGAACAGTTATGTGAGCATTGATTTGTAAAACCTTGCCACAGTTTTATCAAAGGAAATGTTGCTGGTGTGGACACTGGTATTGCCAACATGCACAGAATGAAATCCAGGTCTAAGTAAAAAATTAGAAAATTGATGTTTTGCTGTTTACAGAAGACAAACATTGTCATTGCCTCAGCTGTAAATGGAACCTGCTCCCTGAAGCAGCACCTAGCAATTGAGAGCGACAGAAAGGGAGGGGAAGCTGTCACGCCAGCTCCACTGCACAGTGACTAGATGGGTGCTGGCAATCAGGGTTGCAAGAAGGATGCTAACAAAATTGTTCACAGCCTGGAGAACATGCCTTTTGTCCCCCCAGAGGCTCTTCAGTCATTACATTGTGAATAATTAGTTAAAAAAGAAGATGAAACTTCAAGAAGCAGACCCTTAGGAGAGCTGTATTGGGGTCCCTTCTGCAAAGAGGACCATCATCATCTGACAGTGATCCTGAAGCTAAAGTGTAGTTAACACACTGACCAGTTCTAGCAGAGTTGATGGAATTGCTTACACACTTAAAAATTAATATATGTTTTGCTCAACACTAAGCAAGGAAGGTTAAGCACCTGGTAGGGTCAAGTCCCAGCCACAAGTACCTATATACTACGTGTCTTTCCTCCACAAGTAAGAAAGCAGAAGAGAATGTACCTGTACCTGCCCACTGCTCTGAGAGTTTTGAATTACTAATTCAAATATGCTTTGTGCTTTGACTAGTACTGAGATAGGCTTTGTACACCTAGCCCCTTGAGTTTACTTGATCTAGCAATGCTAGCATAAAATCACTTGTCCCAAATACAGTCGTAGCCATAGCAGGGGCTTCAGAGCTTCTCTTTGCACAGCAGAGTGGAAACCTAACTGGAGATGCTGCTTGCTCAGAAACTGAGAACAGTCAAACATCAGCTAGAAGAATGCTCACATTTTAAAAAGAAACATTTCCCTATGATTTGTTATCTCATTATCAATGAAGGATTACAAACACCTTCTGAAGAGGCATAAACTACCACAGAATGTAAAATTATCTGTTTGGAAGAAACAAAGCAAAGGACATTTTAACTCATAACAAAGCTTATGTATAATGACAACACAATAATGCAATGAGTTTGCTCTTCCTCTGCTACAGCTTAAGAGAGCTCTGAAAACTGTAGAAGCCTGAAAGGCATTGGGGCCATCTGTTGGCAGATGTAGAAGACAGCATTAGCTTACAAGGAGAAGGACACTTAACAGAGCTTTACAAACACCATCCCAATGAGAATTTAATTCCTGCAGGTGCAGATGACATAAACCCCAAAAAACAACCTCACTTGGCTTAGACACGGATTTTGGCACGTGTGTTTTGTTTTCAAGTCAGTTGTGTCATGATTTTAATACAGATAGTTAAGAAGAACTACATGTGTCCTTTTCAGCCCTATTTTATAGTTGCTTGATTTTTTTTTTCCCCCATTTTACCCTTTACTATTTCCATTAGCTATAGGTATCTTCCACCCAAAGCTCACATTCAAATTTTTAAGTTAATGAAAACATATTCTACCAGTTCAAAAGAAAGAGATTCAAAGAATTAGGGCAGTACATGAAGATGAAGCGAAAAATCTGTACCACGTCAACAAAACACCTCTCCCTTTATTCAAAGGTAACCAAATAAGTGAGACACCCCCCACCAAACCCAGATACATCTGCTTAAGTTATTGGAGGTGTAGGGGGATAGAGGGGCAGAGTAAGTTATTTACAACTCTTAAGTGGAGAAAGGGGGCAAATATGAATTGGCATTTATAGTAAATACCAATGCTCCAATCAGCTCTTTCCAGGAACCAAGAAGTTCCTCACCTCAAATTTCTCCAAATTAATTCCCTACCCAGCAGATCACTTCTTAACTAAGAAGTCTACAAGTAACTATGCTGTCTTGTTTTGTGGGTGCCTCCATGACAAAGCCTTAACAAAATGAAAACATTCAAGAAGACTAACCCACCTTAGAAACAAGAGGAGTAGCAGCCAAGCATTATGGAAAAAGAAATGGCAATTTGCTTCTCAGCTTTCTCATCAGCTCCTGGGAAGATGAATTGCTTTGACTCCTGGCCAGTTTTCACATCCTTAAGTTCTGCATTTGAAACCATTACACCACTTCATATTTGTCTTAAGCTACCTGCTGGATACTACCCATAATCAGGAGGCTGCTTTGCCATTCCTGTGCCACTTGGCTTTAATATTAGAGTCAATGTCAAACTACAACCTCAAAGCAGTCTCAGGTGCAACACCTGCATCTGAGACATCCTGATAGTTTTGGCCAGCAGCTCTCATTTCTCCAATAAAACAGATATTATACACACAGCTAAGTCACCTGCCACAAAAAATTGTGAGGTCTGGACAAGACCATGGATCAACAGATTAATTAATTTACTGTGAAGCTGTTTGCAGGAACGCTGCTGCCACCCTCTGCCTTTTGCTCAGGAGAGGCTGTGAGTGTCAGCCTCCACACACTCCCCTCTTGCACCCAGAGGCTTCAAGAGGAAAGGCAGGAGGGGAGATGTTCCTTCCAGGTACATGTGTGACCCAACACTCAACCAATAAGATGTTCCCATCTGCCAACACAGCAAGGAACTGCACAACTGACAAGGTCAGACACCTGAAAAAAGATCTGAAAGGTATTCTGGTGTTGGCCACCACATGCTCACAAACCCACAAAATCTTCTTTCACTCTCCTTTCTGATGTGTCTTTAACCAGTGACAAAGCAATAAAAAGGAAGAGCAGTCTCACAGGCTTGGAAGGAATTATCTACTAGTTATTACAGTGCATAGGAAGACTCCAGCACAGCAGGCTAGCCATGGGTGAGGCCTTTATGAAGGCCCTTCTGGTCAACTGTCAAAATTAAAGGGTCCCTGGAACAGGAGGCAAAGTCCCTGGAACACAAGGTAACCAAAACTGGTCCAAATGTTCCTTTTCTTTCTTCAGATTAAACAAATGGTCTGCACAGATTCAATTTCTTCTTTCCTCAGAACAATGACAACTCTCCAAGTAGTTCTAACTTGAAGCGTAAAAACTAAACCTATCTCCCAGCTACTCCCATCCACTCCTTTCTAACAGTGAGGCTGTTGCCATGGGCCTGTTAGCCTTTTGTATCGTGCTTCACTATTCCTCTTCCTAGAATCCATAGTGGCAGACTCCACACCATGAACTGCTTCATTGTCTCCACTGTCAATGCAGAAGAAACACAGGCAAAACCAAAACCTGAAATACTCTAACAAGTAACTACACCTTTTTTCCTCTTCAGAGTAGTTTAAGACTACTAACTATTTAGTACAGATCATGCTGCATTTTTAAATGCCAACCTAAGAGCTAGTCCTGTGAACAACTTCTTATTTTACTGTAGAAAAATTCCTATGTGGAAGGGCTGTTGATTGGGCAATTTCCCACCAGTTTAGAAAATTAGGAGTGTAATAGGTCACCTTTCTATTTTAACTAATTGGAATTTTTACCTTTAATGACTATGGGGGAAGATAAACATGACAGCTGTTTGCTTTTGGAAGAGCTGCATTTATTTTAATTTATTAGTTCAGCTCAGCATTAAATTGATCCACACAAGAACCTTTCTGGAAAACCATTTTGATTTCAGTGAGTTAATAACTAGTAGCAGTAAATGGGGACAATCCCCCAGAATAATCTGAAACAGCAAAATACACTTAATTTTAATGCCTGATAATGTTGTTTATTATCTCTTTTAAAGAAGAAAAAAAAGGGAGAACTCACATTAGCTTTAATTAAATTCAGGGTATTAGACCCTAACAGCTAATGAAAATAATACAGATTTCTTTTTATAATTAATGAAGTCCCAGAGAATTAGACTTTATTTCACTTTGAGGGGGAAGTGACAGCTACAAGTTTTTCCTATTGTACACATGGGAAAACATGACTGGCTGTGGAAAGTACAAGACAAATTCACCTATAAAACAAAACTGGGAAATAAATACTTCCTCCAGAAACACAGAAAAATGACAGGGTTATTTGGAAAAACAAAACAAAACAAAACAAACAAACAAAAAAACACCACACAACAAATAAGAAAAAAAAAACAAAAACAAAAACAAAACACAGAACCACACAAGGCAAATATACAAACCATAGAAAGATTCAAATTTTCAAGACCAGCTTCCTTGAGAAAAGACATTTATCGGTTCCATAGCAGGGTTCCTACAGCTTAGAAGCCTGATCTAGAAACATACAGGTTACATGAAATACCTGCATGCAACCAAAAAAAAAAAAGTTTTTTTGTTTTTTTTTTTTGCAATTCCCCAGCAGACCCAGGGCAATTAATCACTACTATTTCTTGTTGGCCGCTTCAGGAAGTAAAATGTTACCAAAACCCATGAGCAATAGTTCTCCAGAATGACCAAGTCCTCACATCATGATGGCTTGAGCAACTGAAGTCTTAATCTGCTTTGACATGGACTAGGAACTGTGTCTACATTTACTGGCTACTAGGGGATGCAGCAACATCTCAGGAACGCCATAACATTCCCATGCCTTAGCTGTATAACAAGAACAAAGAACACTACAAATTAAAGGAGGCAAACTGTATAACCACCTTCTGCTCTGTGATTCAGAGACAGTGAAACAGCTTGCTCAAGAATGGCATTGGAAGCTCAGTAGCTGGAAACAAAGATATGTACAAGTAAACTATGACCATCACCAAAATGCCACTCTCCTTACCTGATTTTAATTACATTTAAGAGTGTTAACTTTGGGATCACCCTGAAGCCCTACCTAGTTAAACAAGCCTTTTCTAATGAGTCCCTCAATGCAAATGGCATTGACAGATGAAAACCACTGCAGAGCTAATGAGGAACAGAAGCAACTTCCCATTCTAGCTCAATAATCATAAACATCTAAAGATGACACCAACATGAATTCATACACAGGACTAAAAAAAGTACTCCTGTGTCTGCTCACCCCACCTCTCTTACCATGAGCTTTCAGGCCACTGAAATAGCCCTGTGCCTTTCTCACAGGGGGCTGGCCCAACACCAACACACAGTGCTAGCCACACTACTAACCTCCTATAGCATTAATTGTTTAATTTTTACTCATTTATCTTCAAAACACTTTACAATGAAATTTCACCTTACTGGCATATCAGGGTTTACTTCAAGTCTCAGAATAAACAGTAGGGATGCTCTGTTTATAATACTTGTGTTCCAAAGAGGTATCAGACAATGCTGGAAACCCTACCCATGTAAAAACTTGTCAAGATAGGGTAGATTTTTTTTTTTTTAGAACCAGTCAGTTTCCTTACAAATTTCTAGAAAATCATGGAAGAATAATTTGTAAACAATGCTTTAATAAAGAGGAATATATACGTCTTACAATGACAGACAATGAGTTCTATTCTTTAAACTCTTGAGCCCCATGAGGACAACATTTCATTTCTCCTCCCTAAATTCCATATTAATGGCAACAAGTAAGATATTTGGACTCAGCTCAGCTGCCACTTCCATTTAAAAAAGTCTCTTGCAGCAGGAGTGGCTTGTTAGAATGCCTTTGAAAGAGGACATGGTTCTTTATCATGAACAGCCTTTGTCTCAACAAATAGAAGTGCTGTATAAGTGTCAGGATGCTTACAGGTGAATCAATTCTAGCAGTACAGGCAGTTTATTAACCACACAGTATTTCTACATTATGATTTAGCATGAATTACATTTAAATTACCAGACTACAAACTCTTTGAAATGACCTCTCAGAAAAGAGCTGCCATGTTAGTGCGTCTGATGAGCCTGACTGCAAGCATCCAACCTCCCCTGCCTGCATGCAGCTTTTACCTAGTAATAGAGAAGGACATGCCTTGCAAAGAGCAAAGCCATGAAGCTCTACCACAGAAAGAGCTGGCTCAGATAACAGCAAAGTGAGTGACAGCTGTTATTCCAAGGGTAACAGTGAAGGCTACTGAAAAGGTCCCAACTCTGTCTTAATTGTCCCTTCTCCACTATTAGTGAGGACAGCATGCTCAGAGTGTCGGGCTCAGCATGGGAGTCCCAGGGTGCACCACCTCACTCCTCTTGAACCAGATGGAGGATGTCAAAGACTATGAAATAGTTATCCTCAGTTAAGGTTGCATAGTTATCTTCACAGAGATAATTCAGATCTTGTCCTGGCCCAGTTACCAGGTCAAGTTATACTGATTAAGGTCACTTAGTGAGATCTGAAATACTTAGGTGAACTCTTTATTACAGAGACAGCTTTCTAGCACATAAAGCCAAAACATTTGAATGCTTATCACTTCTCACAACTCACAGGTGTAACAGACACTGTAGTACCTTGAGTTTCTCAAGTACAACCATCTTTGATCATTCCAATAGAAATTTCATTATGAAATCAGAGAATCAGGTTGAAAACTCCCCAATAAACATTGAAGTACAAGACCACAAGGTGAGATTCCCATACCCCACTCCCCAAAATAGGATGTTCTGAAGTAACTAGTTTCCAGGATATTTTTAATACAACACTGTCTTTTTAAACCTCTATTTAAAGTTGAATTAGAATTCTATGATGGTCCTACCTTGATGGAAGCAACATGGAGCAAAGTCTCTCCTTTGTAATTTCTTCTGGCAACTGTGTTACCACCAGGGGACTTCAACACAGAAGGACTTTGTGGTATTCCTACTTGACTACAAGTCTTGGAAGTAGATGGGGTAGAGGAGGATTTTGAGAGTGAAGGACTATTCGCTGCTTGAAAGACTGCAGCGCTTCTTGTCTTCACTCTGGTGTCAGAGGAAGAAATCTGAACTGGTGTCTTCTGTTTGGTCACTGGGGAGACAGGGCCACCCCCAGGTCCCTCCTCTATGCAATCTGCCTGCCTGTCTGACTTCCCAGTACTGCTCCTCTCAGTTCTTCTGGGTCTCTTACACTGAGAAGTCATTGGGAGCCTGGATTGCTCCCTTCCACGTTTTAAAGGTGTAGTTCCATTTTCTATTGACAGGGGTGTCTCCGTAGCACCATGTTTTTCCTTGCTGACCTGTGCAGGGCACGCAACCTCACTGTCATCCTCCTCCTCTGAGGATTTTACCTGTGGTGGTATTTCTACATTTTCTGTCTGTTTACTGGAGTTCGCTTCTTGTATAGGCTCCTGCTGAGGTGTCTCTTCAGGGCTATTTGGTTTCAGAGTGCACACAACTACTGGTTGACTGCAGATGGTCACATGCTTTTCCTTGGGAGTCTTCTCATCAACACCTCCTTTCTGCTCAGGATTCTCTAAGCTCCACACTTTGTTAATGTCTGCTAGACTTTTCTTCTTCTTCTTCTTACTCTGTGTTGTTTTTTTTGTTGGCTTGGAGGGCTTTTCATGAGGCGGGGAAGGAAAGAAATCATAAACTGAAGATGTGTCTTGACTGAGGTCATTGCTTTTAGTCTCAGGCTGACTCTTGTCCAGGACACATCGAATCTTCCTACTTCTTGGGCTGAACCACATTTTTATCTGTTCCTTCTTATTCTTTTTTCCAAAGTCTGTGTTGGCTGGTGTCAACATGTCTTCTGTGGAATCTAAGTGCATCAGGAAAGAGGAAAAATAATTTATAGAGTACTCTTCAATAGAACATCTCAAAGAAGAGAACCAAATAATCGGAGTAGCTGATGAAGTGTTACTAAATACAATCTATAAGTGCCTTCATTTCTTCTGCAGAGACACATGTAAAGGCTTTAAAACAACTGGCAAGGTCACACACCACTCTGGAGTTCAAGGATCCCAGCTAAAGATATCCACTGGGTGAGCGAGCACCCTGGCAGAGGAACTTCCTCAATAGTCCAGGTTCATGTCCATATTCTGACCAGATTATAGAGGGAGAGAAACTGGTTCTCTCACTGAGGTTTCTCTGGAAGCAGGTTTAACAAAGTAGTCTGCACATACACAAAAGAGTATACGAACTATTTTCTAAAAAGATATTGCCTGAAGATACCTGAAGATGAACAGGAAGAGTAACTGCAAGCAAAAATCACATCCTTATAAGGATGTTGAACATTCCTGAGAAATTTGAAGTGATTCCACAGATACAGCAGATGAATCAGAGGAACTGATAGAAAATCTGTAAATAATTGTGTCCTGTCATTCAATTCTTTACCCCTTGGTAGTAAATAATTCCAAGGAAGCTAAACACTTTGATGATCTCAAATATTTCTTTAAAAATATGCAGTGGAGCAATTTTATAAGTCACAGCATATTACAAATCAATAATGAAGATGACAGAGGAATATCCTGTACTCCCAGTACATGAAATAAGAGTTGAGAACTAGAGCTATACAATGTGTCCTCAATGGCTTAAAAATAAATTAAGGAGCATAAAGTGACCTCTAAGTTAGACACTAATTTATTTTGACAACTCTTTCATCGCAAAATAATTATAATAGATTTTTGTAAAAAAACTTTATTTTTCTAAGGTTGTTTGTTTGTTTTTTTCACAGATTCCTTCTTAGAAACCAAATTATTTTGGGTTAGTTGGATGAGCCCTCAAAAATAAAAACACAATTCATTCTTTCTGTTGCTTCCAACCTGAGGGACTACCACTCACAAAAGTCAAGGTGATTTATAGCAATCAATCACAAAACCAATATTAATTTTGCCTAGCAAGGCAAGTAGCATATTGTTATTTTCAAACAGAACTAAAACAAAGATTAGTGGGATTTTTTTTTTTTAAACATTCTTGAAATAAACTATATTTAGAAATAAACTAAGTCTCAGTTATTAAAAGTGACACTCACTGCAACAATGTATTACTTTCACTTCAGTGCATTAACTTTCTGCAGATAATTTGTCTTCTCCATACCTTACCTACTATTTTTCATGTGAGTAGCTATAGCCTGTTTGCCACAGCAAGCTGTGATAAACTCAGAGATAGACAAACTAGTCCCAATACCCTAGCTATAAAAAAAAAGTTTGAAATTTCACTTAAAGCAGAACTGCATAGCTAGTAATTCAATACCAAAATGGACATTTGTGGTTTTCTTTTAAAGCAGTATTTCAAGGTTAAATGTTTCTTCAATCTTTATTTAAATTGCTTACCCCTTGAATTAAAATCTGCTCAATATTAGGAGATTTAACTACAGGAGTACGCAAAGATTCAGATCAAAAGTATCTTTAAGGCTACAGGTTGAGGCTAGCCAATCAATCATTTAGGTACCTAAAGACAATCATCAAGTACAGAACTGCAGCTATTTAGTTTTCCTGCAGGGCTGGGCTTGGTGCAAACAGGGGAAAAAAAGAAGCATGAAATTGAGCCTGAAATCTCATAACTAGCTAGCCTTCAGAAAGAAATCACATCCAATTTCACTCTGACAATAACATCTAAAAAAAGGAAGAGCTTGATTGCAAACAGATGCAAAGTATAAAACAGAGTCAGTATTTACTTGTCTTCCCTTCACTGTTTATACAACTAGCAGATTTCCTGCTAAAATATTTACCTTGCTAGAGCTATCAGTCATCTTCAAGTCAGGAGCGAGAATAAAATCAGCGTGCAAAAGTAATTTGTGCAGCAATTGTGTGATGGCCAGAATTCTTTTTGATGTGTCTAGCACGGTAAGACTTTAAAGGCCAAGTGACAAATTCAATCAAAGGCTCTGTCCTTCAGAAGCACGATCTAAAGCATCACAGCTCAGTTTGGTCTTTATTCTGGAAGCCATGTATATAGCACTTTAGGCAGCAAGAAAGCCTGTGAAAAAATCAGCCACAAGAGTTCTTAAACCAGCCTGGTCATTACTAGTAGCTCATCAAGGACTGACTTACAACAAAGGTGAAGAGTCTGGGGAACATGTCTTATGAGGCTGGGGGAACATGTCTGGAGAAGAGGAGGCGGAGGGGAGTGCTCTCCTTAGTGCTATCCACAACTCCCTGAAAGGAGGTTGCAGGGAGGTGAGTGTTGGTCTCTTCTCCTAAGTAACTACCAATAGGACGAGAGGAGACGGGCTTATGCTGCACCAGAGGTTTCGAATGGATATTAGGAAGAATTTCTTTGCTGAAAGAGTGGTGAAGCCTAGGCCAGGGAGGTGGTAGTCAGCATCCCTGGAGAGGTTCAAAAAACATGTAGACATGGGACATGGTTTAGTGGTCATGGTAGGGTTGGGTTGATGGTTGGACTTTAAGATTGTAAAAGGTCTCAAAGATCATCAAGATTCTATGGTTACTAGAGAGGTTATTAAAAACCTGCTAAAAATACACCCCATAAATACCTTCCCAGGATTATTTTTCCTCACATGCAACTATTTTATGTGTAAAAGAGTATGTTGCATGGTTTAGAACAGGGAAGGAAGCACTTGTGGAACATGATGAAAAGGCCATGCCCACTATCAGAGAACCATCACATGGGGAGGAGGCTAACCATGCACACCCAGGGCAGCTTCACAGCCTACTGGGGAAGAAGCTGCCAGGCGTGCACATTGTCTTTCAGGCAGTCTTCAATAACTCCATCATTTGGACTGCTCCACAGCTACCATCAGCTCTACCTGAACAGCTCTGCAGAGCATCTGCAAAAACCTTAACCTTAGATTCTGCTGCCCCTGTCCTCCATTTCCAGAGCATAAAAGGTAGGGAGTAGAAATAATGACAAAATGGTCAATCTACCCTTGCTGAAAGTCTAATCCTATGGTGGACTATGAGAGGGAGAAAGTGAGAAAAGACAGTGCTAGGAAGCTGAAAGGAAGTTCTGACGGTTTAATATGTAAATGTTCATTTATATAAAGAGGGTATTATCTAGTCACTAAGTGCATCCAGTTAAACTGCCTTTGGAGAAAATTGCTCAGAGAAAAATCGATCCAAAGGAATTCTTTGCTGTCTCCAAGTCAGAAGCCAGAGCTTGCATCCCGACAGGACTGAAAAAATTACCATCCACTATTAAGATTTAATTCTCTTTTTTATACATAAGAAGTATCCTCACAAAATTTTTAGAAATGCATTGAGACAAGGTAAACCAGTAAAGCATGTCTTAGTAATTCTATATTTTAAGCGCTTGCAAGAGTGAAAAGACTATTCACAATAACAATATTAGAATCGGCTTATAATAAAAGCAGTAAATTTAGTCTCCATTACCTATTAAAAGTAACATTCATATGCACAGTGTATCAATTGAATCCTTTCTAAATTAGACTTATTTGCACATAATAAGCACAAGTTTCTTAATGCTGACATTTAATAGAGTTGAATTTGTTAAAAGGGTTGAGAGACAACAAAAATATTAGGAGATAGGCAGTGCCTTGAGACTAGAGAGCCACATCTCCAAGCTGGGTTGTAGTGCAGTAACAGGCTAGAGCAGGGAAAAAAGGAGCAATTAGAAAATGTGGTTTAGCTATCATTAATCTGCATCAAAAGAATATAATGATGCACATTGTGTGCCTTTCAAATTATTCTCTACTACGGGTTTCAGAACAGAAGTTGAGAAATCTCTTTGACAAACTAGTCCCTTATTAAAAATCAAAGGGAAGTGCTTTGGTACCATCTGTGCAACATTAGTGCCTTCACTGAAGAATGATTATTTTGCAAGTTAAGTATTCAACACAGGGGGGGGAAAAGGGAGAAATTCCAGCTATTCAAAACCTCATCTTTAGCTATTATGAAAAATGTCAGAGCATACACGAAATGCAATGTAATCTGTTACAACAGGAGTTCAACATTCT